ACCCCTCCACAAATTGTATATTTCATTTCCAACATAGTGTCTAGTGAGTATCACTGCTGTATTAGTTAACACTTTGTTTCATTGCTTTTGTGCTTTCCCTTTCCCTTCCCAAATCACATAAACTAACATACAAGACCAAGGGTACATATGTCCCTTTCAAGGCTGTTCACTGACTATGACTACTATGGCCCACACTGATATCTCTTGCTCTTATTGCATTCTAATTAGTACTTTCCAGTACACACCAAGAAAGGTTATTTCTTTTATGTATTTAAAAACATATTTCCATCCATTTACCAAACAGTATTTGTAAAATTTTTGAATTGTGAAATCTGTAAAGTGACTTATAATGGGAAGATAGGGGGCAGGAAGGAGTCTAGACACCAAGGGAAGAGAAAACTTTGGCTAGAACAATGATAAAGAATTAGCTAAAATAAATGTTTTCTGAATGTGCTCCCTGGGCCACCAGCATCTAAACAATTTAGGATGCCTGGAAAAAATGCAGACTCTAAAACACCAATAAACATTTATGGAATCAGCCTCTACAGTCCAGAAATCGTATTTATTTGTCTTTAGGTGCTTGCACAGAAGCCCAGGGCTCATGCTTAACAGCCAATCTCTCTACCATTGAACCATATTGCCAACCCTAGAAATCTGTTTTTATCTGCCAGCACTGGTTTGAACTCAGGACCTGAATTCTGTCCCTTGGCTTTTTAATTCAAGGCTGGTGCTCTGGGACTTGAGCCACAGTTCCACTTTTGGCTTTTGTGTGGACTTTCCTGCTGGGGCTGGCTTTGAATCATGATCTTCAAATCTCAGCGTCCTGAGTAGCAAGGATTTCAGGCATGATCCATTAGTGCCAATTTTAGAAATGTAAAATTTTAATAGTAACTGAAATGATTGAGAAGTATACAAATTCTGAGAATCACTAAGTGAAGAAGAAAGACAGATGGTGAAAGAAAAAGCTTTTCTTATGTCTAATGTTCACTTAGTACATGTATTTTTCATCCTGATTAGGAATAGAACGAAATAATTTCACAATATCATGACTTGCTTTGATATGATTCTCCCTCTTCAATACACTGTTTTGAGTAAAGCAGTCTTACTGCTCATGGCAAAGAGATTTCAAGTACTACATCACAAATATAGGCTAACACAGAATCTCTGGAAGACCTAAAATTTTTGGCACTCCAAGGAAAAGTAAAGAGTTTTATTTTTTTAAAAAATAAAAATATAACAAGAGGGCTGGGAAGGTGGCTCAGTGGTAGAGCGCTTGCCTTGCATGCCTGAGGCCCTGGGTTCGATTCCCCAGCACCACATAAGCAAAAAGAAAAAAGCCATAAGTGGCGCTGTGGCTCAAGTGGTAGAGCGCTAGTCTTGAGCTGAAGAGCTGAAGACAGCGCCCAGGCCCAGAGTTCAAGCCCCATGACCAGACCCAAAAAAAAAAAAAAACAGAAAAATATAACAAGAAACACACTACAGGCTCCTGGAATTCAAGGGTGGTAGCATAGAGAAAACAGCAACAACTTTGAGATGTAGTTGCATAAGTTTTTAATTGGAACCAAGTGATAGCTAAAACATGTAGCTGATTGAGATAAAATCTGAGGACCCTCTCACTGGCTCATGCTGAGTAGGATTTCTGAAGTTGAGTACTACAGAAGTGAGATAACAGAATTAGATACAATCGAGGGGAAGAAAAATGCACAAAAGTCCTTGAATTAAAATGAATTGAAACCTTCTGGGAGAAAAGCTATTTGGTAAGCTCCATTAAGTCTATTGTAGATAGCTTTATTTGACAAAGCAGCATCCTGGCATGTGGAACAGGAAAGAAAATAGCTATAAGATGATCTGTCAGGGAGTTTCCAGTCTCTAAACGAATAAGACTGTGCAGTAGCCAATACAGCTTTTAACTCAAAAGAGATACAGAAGCAAAATGCAATTATATAACCTTAGTAAGTGCATTCAATCTGAATCTTTCCCATACTACTCTCTTCTCCCTATAACTCCTCAAACTCCACAATTTACCAAGTGGCTGCTCAAACTTATGGCTGCATTTATTTCACTGAAACACTGGATAAACATTATATATATGGTTGTAAATATTGAGGCGGAGACACTTTTACAAGTTAAAGATTAATTAGCCAAAACCCCCCACCCTAGCTAAGGACTTAAATAATCTGAATAACTAAATTAATAGTAGACTTTCATTTATTTTGGCTATGAGTTTATGGTCTTTATTTGCAATAATGAGTTCATTTCTCTGAGTAGACTGATTAACCAGTGATTACAGTTTATTAAGTATAAATAGTATTTTATATGTTTAGGAATCCAAGAATTCTGATTTAGTGCTTTTCTTCCCTTAAGGAGGAGGCTACAGTGCTTGATAAGAAATGTACTCATTATCTTGCCCATGTAATTGTGACTCCTCTGTACAGTATTTTCACAATAAAAAGAAAAAAAAGAACTTATGAATATGGCAAGAAGATTCTAAGACTACTCAAGTGGGCACAGAGCTTCTGCCTCCAGTATGGAAGTGCTGAAACTGGGAAATTCAGATTTGAATTGAAGAAACATTTATTAATATATATTATTTGTGCAAGGTGGTTTGATTGTGACATTTCCATGCATACACAGAATCAATCAAACTTACCCCAATCAAACTCACACCATCTCTCTCCTTCATCTCCCCTTCTGAAAACAATTTCAACAGGTTTTGCCATTCTATTTTTTTTTTTTTTTGGTCGGTCATGGGGCCTGAACTCTGGGCCTGGGCACTGTCCTTCAGCTCTTTAGCTCAAGGCTAGTCGCACTCTACCACTTGAGCCACAGTGCCACTTCACTTTTTCTGCTTATGTAGTTCTAAGGAATCGAACCCCATGCATGCAAGGCAAGCGCTCTACCACTGAGCCACCTTCCCAGCCCATTGCCATTCTATTTTTATACATGAATCTAAAGTACTTTACCCATAGTCACCTTCTTTCACTTTCTCAGTTGGCTTTCCTTACTCTAGCTGTTCCCTGACCCCCTACACAGCCTGCTTTATTTTCCTGTGCTTCGTTTTCTTCTTTTTCTTTTAGTGTATATTAAGTATATTTCATCATGGTAATTTGCACATGCATATATTATATTATAATTTAGTCAGCTTAATCTCAGCTCTTGCTATCTCTTGCCCCATCTCAGAAATAAAAAGTTTTTTTTTGGTTGGTCGTGGGGCTTGAACTCTGGGCCTGGGCACTGTGCCTGAGCTCTTCAGCTCAAGGCAAGCACTCTACCACTTCAGACTTAGCACCACTTCTGGTTTTCTGCTGGTTTATTGGAGATAAGAGTCTCACAGACTTTCCTGCCCAGGCTGGCTTTGAACTGAGATCCTCAGATCTCAGCTTCCTGAGTAGCTAGAATTACAGGCATGAGCCACCAGCGCCCAGCTCACAAATAAGAATTTTAATGGACGAATGCCTCCTTAAGTCCTTCACATGATAGGGACAGAAAACCACTACAAATCCAATATGGATAGAGTGTTTGACATCTAATAGCTATTAAAGGATGAATTCATTTAACCATAGACAACATCCTTGTTAGATGGCTTTTATCATGTACTAATTACAATGTGAAAGCTGAGGTTTAGTGGGAAAAAGTCCCTCCCCGGTCCAGAAAAGTTACATGTTATTTTTCTGTCTTTAGGTCCAGTGCTTTTTCTATTGTACTTTTCTACAATTTACCTCTTATGATACTCTGGAAAGATTTTCCTGAAAAGATTAGTCTGTTGGTTTGTATTTTACCTGAAAGACTTGTTGACTAGCTGGTATTTTGTTTTCTCCCATGGCAATCTCCCATTCTAAATAGTATACTACAAAATTGAAAGGGAAGCCAGGCACAATTGGCTCACACCTGTAATCCTACCTACTCAGGAGGCTGAGATCTGAGGATCGAGGTTCAAAGTCAGTCTGGGCAGGAAAGACCGTGAAACTCTAATCTCTAGAAAACTGGAAGTGGTGCTGTGACACAAGTGATGGAGCACTTGCCTTGAGCTGAGGAGCTCAGGGATAGCGCCCAAGCCCAGAGTTTGAGCCCCATGACCGACAAAAAAAAAATTGAAAGGGAGGTGTTCTCCCACTCAAACATTTACCAAATTAGTCCCACTGAGGACCTACACCATACCTTCTGTCTCACAGCCAGGTCTGAATATACTAGGTTATTGCAAAAGCTTTTATTTTGACAACTATTTGTGGAATCCTGGTTAGTTCTCAATACAGACTTAAGTAACCAAAATGGTTCCATGTTACAGATATTTCCCTATAGTGTGCAGATTTTCTTTTAACTTTGGGACTTATTTTATAGAAATGTTGCGTTTTTATGTGGATTACATTTGTCAAAAACCTTTTATTTCTTTTTTTGGTGACCTGCCATGAATTATGTAGCCAATACCTGTATTTTTCACAATTTCTTTTGCTATATGTATTTTATTAGCATTGAATTTTTATATCCATCTGTTATTAATTTTGGTGGTGATACAATATAAATGACCTAGTGTTTACGCATGCATTCTGTCAAGCTTCCATTGCAGAAAATACTAATAAATCCAAATTAAATATGGAACAATGCTGCCAGAGTGTCCAATGGTTTTTGTAAAAGAACTATACTTTCAATTAGGATTATAGGATAAATGGAGACCACAAAAATTCTATATACACAGGTTTTGATATTCAGCCAGTGTATTTTTACATAGCCCCATCAATTGTTTCTAATTTACATCCTGTCTGATGGATTTATGGCTATATCTTACTTGTTTTTTTTTTTTTTTTTGCCAGTCCTGGGACTTGAACTCAGGGCCTGAGCACTGTCCCTGAGCTTCTTTTTGCTCAAGGCTAGCACTCTATCACTTGAGCCACAGTGCCACTTCCAGTTTTTTTTTTTTTTTCTGTTTATATGGTGCAGAGGAATCAAACCCAGGGCTTCATGCATGCTAGGCAAACATTCTACCACTAAGCCACATTCCAAGACCAAATGTGGAACGCTTCATGAATTTGCATGTCATCTTTGTGCAGGACCCATGCTAATATTCTCTGTATAGTTCCAATTTTAGTACATGTGCTGCTGAAGCGAGCACTTACTTGTGTTAAAGGTTTGAAAATACTGCGCCATGCAAACAGATATTTGTTACATAAAATAAATGAGAATTATATTTACCTGATTCTTCTGTTTCTTTTGCTTCTGTTGTTTCTTCTATTTCATCATCAGACATTTCCATTTCTTCTTCTCGCCTGATTCCCATTAATTCATCATTATGAATGTTGCGAATTTCCTAAGATTAAAAGATAGGCTTGTTAGGTGGGAAAACCCTACAAAATGTTGAGGAAATGGGAAGAGATCAGATAAGCTTTGGTGGGCACATATTAAAAACCTTCAGAGTACTCAAGGTAAATGCAATAAGGCATGTTGAAACTAAATGGTCTCACTAAAAAAAAAAAAAAAAGCATATTTGGGTCTACTCCAGATCCAGAGCTCTGACAGTATATGATTTTTCCATATTCCATATTTTCCATATTGCCATGGAAGACTCTTCATATCATTTTTTTTGAGAGGGGGGGTTGGTCCTGGGTCTTGAACTCTGGGCCTGGGTGCTGTCCCTGAGCTCTGTCCCTGGCAAATGCTCTACTACTTGAGCCAGAGTGCCACTTCCAGTTTTTTGAGTTGTTTACCGGAGATAAGAGTTGCTGGGACGTTCCTGCCCGGGCTGGCTTTGAACCTCGATCCTCAGATCTCAGCGTTCTGAGTAGCTAAGATTACAGGCGGGAGCCACCAGAGCCCGGCTCTCTTCATCTCTTATTCATGTGGATTTCTGAAATTTCTCTTCACTGTCTCACGTTGGACCCTTTAATTTTGTTACCTGTCATTTCATCTCCTTTTATTTTACTCAACAAAACTCTTTTTTTTTTTGTGTGTGGGGGGGGTCTGGTCATGGGGCCTGAACTCTGCGCCTGGGCGCTGTCCCTCAGCTCTTCAGCTCAAGGCTAGCTCTCTACTACTTGAGCCACAGCGCCACTTCCGGCTTTTTTTCTTTTTGCTTATGTGGTGCTGGGGAATCAAACCCAGGGCCTCATGCATGCAAGACAAGCACTCTACCACTGAGCCACCTTTCCAGCCCCATCAACAAAATTCTTAATCTAGATTTTTCAGTTTAAGAAAGCATAGCAAAAATGACTATGTTGAAAATGAACTTTAAAACTTGGTGGGGGTGGGGCAGTGGAGAAAATGAGAGGGGGTAATACTGCTCAAAAAGAAATATACTCATCTACTGTGGGGCATCTGGATTGGTTCCATTCTTAGCTATGGTAAATAATGCTTCAATAAACATAGTTGTGCTGGTAGGTTTAGTATGGTCTTGTTTGTGATCATTTGGGTAAATGCCTAAAAGTGGGATTCCTGGGTCATAGAGGAGCTCTATGTGGAGTCTTTTGAGGAACACCCATATTGCTTTCCAAAGTGGTTGAACAAGTTTACATTCCCACCAACAATGAAGTAAGGTTCCCTTGTGACCACATCCCCTCCAACATCTATTATGGAACCAACCCAGATGCCCCTCAGGAGATGAATCGATCAAGAAAAAAAAAAAAAATATATATATATATGTAATGGAATTCTATGCCTCCAACAGAAAAAATGGTATTGACCCATTTGTTAGGAAATGGAAAGGCTCGGAAAAAATTATATTAAGTGAAGTAAGCCAGGCCCAAAGAAACATAGGTCCCATGGTTTCCCTTATACAATAACTAGTATATGTCTGGGACAAGCAGAAGAGATCCAAAGCTATGTACATATGACCAGATAAGATGATGTTAAGCAACATGAATCCCAAGACAGGAACACAAGTATTTTTTTTCTTTCTTGATATTCTTTGTAATGTATTTATAATGTACCATGTGATTTTTTTTGTTTCTTTGTATGTTCCTCCCCCACAATATAACCCATGTTTTCACTGTATTTGAGATCTGTGACCTGAATCTTGTATATACTCTTCTCTAATTTGGGGAGGGGAAGGAAGAAAACAAAATGCTTAAATAGGGATACAGGTTGACCCATTGTAACAATGAGATGTACAAGGCACTATGTTGAAAAATGAACTTTACAATTTAGGCAGGGGGTGGGGTGGGGGGGGGAGGAGTGTAGTTGTGGAGGTGGCAGGGAAGGGATGGTAGGGGAAAAACAAAGGAGGAGGTAACAATGCTTGATTGGAAGTGTTCTCATTACCTTGCTCATGTAACTGTAACCCCTCTGTACAATATTTTTACAATAAAAATATATTAAAAAAGAAATGTACTCTTTATCTTATGTAACTATAGCCCCTCTGTACATCACCTTTACAATAATTTTTATTTTTATTTTTATTTATTTTTATATTTTTTGGGTCTGTCGTGGGGCCTGAACTCTGGGCCTGCGCGCTCTCCCTCAGCTCTTCAGCTCAAGGCTAGCACTCTATCACTTGAGCCACAGCGCCACTTCTGGCTTTTTTTTCTTTTTGCTTATGTGGTGCTAGGGAATCAAACCCAAGGCCTCATGTATGCAAGGCAAGCTCTCTACCACTGAGCCACCTTCCCAGCCCTACAATAATTTTTAAAAGAATATATATAGCAAAAATGAACTGTCAAGAGTAAATTCCTACCATACCAATTCCCTTACAGACAATAACTATAATCTTGGAACAAAACACAAAACCTGTAACTTTTTTTTTGTTCTAGTACTGGTGCTTGAACTCAGGGATTGGGTGCTGTCCCTTAGCTTTTTTGCTCAAGCCTGGCAATTTACCACTTCAGCCACAGCTACACTTCTGATTTTTGCTGGTTAATTGTAGATAAGAGTCAAAGCTTTGAATTGCAGCCCTCAGATCTTAGTCTCCTGAGTAGCTAGGATTACAGGCAAAAGCCACTGTGCCCAGCCAAAATGTATAACATTTTTATGTCATTGGAGACTGTATGAGAACAGATATATTCTGAATAGGATATGAAACTCAGAAGAAAAGAAAACCAACAGTCCAAGTCTCTCAGCATTTTAAAGGGTCTGGTTTGACAGCAGACAAGGGTTAGGTACTCATAGGATTGTTAAATTTCTCACATTTCACAGAAAACCCAGCCTTAGGCTGGGTTTGGTGGCTCATACCTATAATCTAAGCTACTCAGGAGGTTTAATTCTTAAAGAGGATCAATGCTTAAGACTAGTCCAGGCAAAGATTTGAGATCCATCTAAATCAACAAAATGCGTTTGATAGAACATAGTTTGTGATCCCAGCCACATGGGAAGCCTTAGGTGGGAATATCAAAATGTGAGATACTACTTGAAAAATAACTAGGGAAACAAGGACTGGGAACATGCCTCAAGTAGTAGAGTGCCTGCCTAGAAGTGTGAGAAACTGATTTCAAACTCCAGTACTACAATAAAAATAATTTAAAAAAACCTAGATCCACAGTGAGTTATGAGAGTGCATTTCACAGTCTTAATCTACATGTAAATGAAATTCCAGAAAGATAAGAGAGAAAGGATTTGAAGAAATAAAGGTTGACATTTTTTTTAATTAGATGAAAGACATCAATCTATATATTCAAAGAGTAGTGAACCCCCCACAAGTTAGATGGGAAAAAAATCATCCAGGAACATCTTAGTCAAACTGTAGAAAAAGAAAAAGTGAAATGTTTGAAAACATTCAGAGGAAAAAAAACACATAACATTATCTAGAAAGGAACAACAATTTAAACACTTTGATTTCTTTCTGAAGTAATCAGGGTCAGAAGCTCATGGGAAAATATCTACAAGTTCAAAAAGAAACAGAAGTATCGATTTATCCAGAACTCTATTTTCAAAGAAAATGTAGAGAATGATGATGAATAAACATGTCAAGAGAAAAGTAAATATGTAAAAATTCATTAGCAAAAGATTTGTACTATAGGAAATACTGAAGAAAGGTTTTCAGACTGAAAGGACATGCTACCAAGTGAAAATACAGATCTTTAGGACAGCATGAAGAATACTGGAAGTGATCAATATCACACTGAGAAAGTCACTTAAGAGAAGCAGCTTGCAATCATTTGGAGGCTACTTGATGCCTGTCAGTCTCTTCAGTACTAAGCTTAAAACTCCTTGCTGAAGCTTACTCCTACTGGGATGACATACAGGAAATATTCAAAGCTGTTTGATGAAAATTGCTTCCGTTTATGAGGATAATACATATTTCAAATGGATTTCTTAATAATTAATACTCTGTGTAGTTACTCTGTATCCCAACTAATTTCTTCCTTTCTTATTCCTTTTATCAGGAAAATAATGATTTCTATTTCAAGTTAAGTTTTCATTAAGAATAAATGAAAAACCTCTTAAGAGTGAACTATTCAGTATCATCACTGATTCCTATGAAGGAATAGAAAAATCAGATGCTAACATAGCATCTCCTATGTGCTGCAGAGATATTACTTAAAATAGAGGAAAATAATGACCTGCTTGAGAAAAATGAACTTTAAAGGGCTGTGTCATGAGAGATATTACTGTATCTTATTCAAACTCATTGCACAAAGAACAATAAAGAACTTCTCATTTCTGTGAACTCATTCTACCTCATGAGACTGGATTTTAGCTATCATCAGAGCTGTTATTAGAAAGGTGATTATAATGAGATTTGACATTGGAAAATTTGAATACTGTACATAGTGCATCAGGAAACTTTGTAGCTTTCTAGATGCCTAACAAAAATATAGACTGTCAGGGGCTATATAAGTAGAGATCAGGTCTCAATTCACATATATGTCACTAACCCTGGTACAGTTATTGTGTTTCTCAGAAGGCTAAATTATGTTCCTCCTAGTGAAATATCCCAGAGCAGGAAAACACGAGAGCTAAGACATGTCCCATAGCTGCCTGGCATCCATAAAGCATATTTGTGCTTCGAGCTGGGCAAGAATGAATAATCTCTTATTAGAAATAGAAAAAAGTTCAACAGCTATGTGACATGGCTTATCTAGAGGTCTTTTACAGCTTCAAAAGTCCCTAGAAATATAACAGGCTTAGAGCAAATTTTACCTAAATGTCTCAAGATATTTTAGAAACAATAATTACCAGATGTTTTAACTGATAATGAAATGAGGGTAAGAAAAACTAAAGGAAAGGTTGCTCTAACCTTTTCAGTTAGGTAAAGTGGTAGAGCTCAGAGCCCTCTACCAATTAGACAACTCTCTTTTAGTTGCAAAGACACTAAGGCTCATATTATTATTCTTTTATAAATATCCAATACTAAATCACACAAGTAGGATAAAAGCAAAGTGAACAGCAGAGGCCATGGGGTGCCATACTAAAGTAAATTTACAGGTAACATTTGGTAAATGATAGTACCTCCAAGAAAAGTGGAGTGACATTTTATTCCTTTGAAAACTTTACCATTAAGGATATTTCATACAAAGTGCTTCATTACATATGCACAAAAATAGAACAATGAAATCTGTTGTGAAGAATTTCATATACATGTATTAAAATAGAAAACGCATTTCATAGCCAAGCTGTCTGTTTCCTAAATTTTCTCCTTAGATGAGTGAAGTTCAACTTTGACAAACAAACCCTAACAAATGTTTTCAGTGCATAGAGCTGTAAGGTGGCATGTACCTGTAAAAGTATTTTATCTAGCTAGAGTATAGATATAGACAGGGGAAGAATTCTAAGCTACTGAAACACAGATAACAAAGGAAAAAGCTGTCTCCTAGATCTTCCCCATTTCCTATTTGGCATTTGGGTACAATGATGAAACCAAAAACATTTAAAGCCATTTGGATGTGTTAATGTCCACTCCAAATCTACTGAATCAGGTCACTGGTTGACTACATCATAACAGGTAAGACAAACCTCCTCAAAATTCTAGGTCACTCTTCTGTCCAGCGTAGGTCTTTGGTATCTCTCATTTCAACAGTGAACTGTTAGTAATTTCTGAAATGGCATTATAATGACTTTGAGTGTTTTAATGATCACTTTTTCTGAAGCTTAGGAATTTATATTGCTCTGCAATGGAGAACAAAAAAGAATACTTTTGTGGGGCTGGGAAGGTAGCTCAGTGGTAGAGTGCTTGCCTTGCATGCATGAGGCCGTGGCTTCAATTCCTCAGCACTACATAAGCAGAAAAGCTGGAAGTGGCACTGTGGCTCAAGTGGTAGAGTGCTAACCTTGAGCCGAAGAGCTGAGGGACAGGGCCCAGGCCCAGAGTTCAGGCCCATGACCAGCAAAAAACAAAAACAAAAAAACAACCCCCCCCACACTTTTGCATGGAATGAAACCAAAGCCTGAGACAGCAGTAAATATTTGGAAAGAATCATTTTTGTGATAGCTAATTGTGACTTATCACAAGGTAAGCAAATTATAAAGCATTATGCATGAGCTAGTTACCTATAGTTTCACAAAAATTTATGTGGTCTCAAATTTATCTCATTTATAGTTAATGATAGCAATATGATTATCAGAAATTTGTAATAACATTCATAAATGTATAAGCATATCCACCTACCTGGATTTTCAACATTAACATTAGTAGGAAAAGGGTCATGAACAGAAAGGAGCAGAGGCTAAGGAGATAACTTCTATATAGACAAAACAATTTGATTCTGAGATATCACTTAGTACATTGAAACAAGGTACCAATAGAGGCTTGTAATATCTATTGTATGATACGTAGTGGAAATATAAATTAGGTTGATTCAAATTGGGACAGTATGCTTTCTGGTGGCTGAATGCCAACAGGAAGTATTACTATAAATGAGTCTTTTTTTTTTTTTTGTCAGTCGTGGGGCTTGAACTCTGGGCTTGGGTTCTGTCTTTGCACTCTTCAGCTCAAGGCGCATGCTCTACCACTTGAGCCATAGTGCCACTTCTGGTTTTCTAGTGGTTTATTGGAAATAAGAGTCTCACAGACTTTCCTGCCTGGGCTGGCTTTGAACCGTGATTCTCAGATCTCAGCCTCCTGAGTAGCTAGGATTAGAGGCGTGAGCCACCAGCACCCGGCTAAATGAGTCTTTAAACAAGCATATGAGGATGATTTGAATATTCATCTGCAAATAATTCTTCAGACATTGGAATAGTCAGTTTGTAAATCTAGAAAAAAGTTATTTTTATCAACCATAAATTTTTTTGTACAAGAATCCTAGTAATCATCATGGCCCTTTCCCTCTGCTCCAGGGGTACAAAATCTCCTATCAGGGAAAATGCAGAGAACTGGTTAAAGACGTAGTAGTGTCTGCTTGTTATGGCTCTAGATTATATAGGCTTTCCACCTAGTCTAGCATAACTTGAAGAAAGCATACAAAGTTCTCTAAACAGTCACATCGGCCAGTTAAATTTCTATAGGCACACACTATTAGTAAGGGGAGGGACTTTGGTTAAACCTTACTATCCTTTAACAACTATATTAGCAGAAGCCTTACACACCTATAAATCAAGAAAGTAAAGCAATGAAAGAGAATCAGTAGCAAAAAAAGACTCAGTAGCAAATAAGTCAGTGTGGAATACGCTCTTAGTGTTTGAGCTTCCCAAAGGTGAGAACTTTGTCTTCTTACTCCACATCATCTCTCTCCATAGAGGAAGACAGTCATGGTTGCTGACTGAAGGGTGACAATGAAGTAAAGAACAGGAACTTTATGACATGAGGTGACCAAAGGCAATGGTGAAAAAGGTTAAATGTCAGAAACTTCAAACTTGATGAAACAATTGACTTTTTTTTTTTTTTTTGGTCCGGTCGTGGGGCCTGAATTCTGGGCCTGGGTGCTGTCCCTCAGCTGTTCAGCTCAAGGCTAGTGCTCTACCACTTGAGCCACAGCGCCACTTCCGACTTTTTTCTTTTTGCTTATGTGGTGCTGAGGAATCGAACCCAGGGCCTCAGGCATGCAAGGCAAGCACTCTACCACTGAGCCACCTTCCCAGCCACAATTGACTTTTAAGTTGTAGTTCTGGTGCTAAGGTGAAGAAAAGCCCATTCACTTGAATAAATTCAATTCAGAGTAGTAACCTAATCACTACAATTCTTCCGGTGTTCTGCTGAAGATGTTACTTGAACACAAAGCAGAGAAGTGTGTGTAAATCTCAATCTGAAATCAGAGTCTTCTCTTACCTTTAAATCTGCCACCTATGAAGATGGTTGAAAATATTTAATAAAAGAAGCTCAGACATTTTTTGTTCCACTGGCACACCAGGAAGCTTCTAGCCTGAACTGTCAAGATGTTCTGATAAATGTAAGACAGCCCTAACATTACTAACACTAGAAACACAGGTCAATAATTACTGTTGTACTCCAGACTAGCTAGCACAGAGAAGAAAACTTATAATTATCCCAGCTACATTTTCATGACTACTGTTTCCATCCAGCAAAATGTGTTCAAGACAACATGGGCATATTTATTCCCCCTTTGACAGCAGGTGGTCTCCATACTGACAGGCTAAAGAACATGTCTTAGTGTTTCATTAGGGCCTTGTCATGACCATGGGAGCTTGGTACTATTTAATTCTGGCTAAACTCCAAATCAATAACTTGTTAAAGAATGAAACTGTCCCCCTGAGGAGCTAGCAGAGTAAAAAGTTACTAACCTCAGCTTGTTTGCACCAAACACTGATGTTTTTACGCTGGGCTTTTGTAAAGTGGTCCCATGCCTTCTGTTTGGAGGCGGAATGGTACACAGCCACTATCTGCTCAACTGCAGCATGAAATCAGCAGCCAGATCAGCCAGAGTATCACCCAGGGATTGCAAAAGAAAGGAAAAGAAAAAAATGAAAAAAAGAAGCATTAGTCATGGTGTATCTTCCTGTTGTCAATATATATAGTATAACCGGTTCAAAAGGAAGAGATATTAATATGTAGAAAGAAGAAAGGGAATTCTAGAAGGATTGGCATGATATGGTGACTAAAGTTTTAATAGAGGCAGTATGTATTCATTCAGGTAGAAGAGGCAAGAGTTGTAATAAATGTATTTTTTTTAGTTCAGTTCTAAATAGCATGGAAGAAAATTAAACTAATAATATCTACCATTGGCTCTTTTTATTAATCAGCCCTCTGAAATAAGCTGGGATATTCACTTCAGTACAACTTTTTATTTCATTTTTTCTGAAGTAAATTTAACCAGAAGCATTGAATCAAAACCTAAAATGACTGGTAGTATAGGTCTACCTAAATAGGCTTTCAGACTGGAGAAATATAAGTGAATGCTGTCCTGGAAAATATTTTTAAGGTCTCTTTAAAATGTTCAGTGGGGAAATGTGTCCAAATATTCTCTGGGGCCTTATGCTAACCAATTCAAGATAGGGGAAGCTTAGATATGTCACTTTTGGGGAAAGAAAGACATAGCAAGAGCCCTTACCTAGAGAGGTATTCACAGTAAGAAAATCTAGAGGCATAATTTTGTTCTTTATGGCCATGCTTATACTCTATCTTAAGGATTTATATTCTCACAATGCTTGCTGCTCTCATTTATGACTTATTCTGAAGTTCTGAAGACTTGTTCGTCTCCTGGATTTTATGCCCATATATGCTTCCAAAACACAAGTAGAGAATGGAACAAGTTCTCCTTAATCCCAATTATGTATGAGTCAAGTATGGAAAGTACAGTATAGGAAGAGTGGACCATAATTGTTCAAAAGCAAAGTCATAAAACTGTGCCCTTATTCTTAAGAATGTAATTCCTTACTGAAAAAATGAGTATATAAAAAAGTTACTTGACAATGGATCTGATCTATCTCATTTAAGAGAACTTAGATAGGTCTAAAGTAGTGCTTCTTTTTGAAAATGGACATTTCAATGGATTCTCACCTTTTGATGTCTTTCATATCCAGTAAAGGTACTGGAACAATGAAAACTAAATAACTTGTACAAGTAACAAATGAGCTTTTTAATAAAAATCATCTTGGGACATAGGATTATACTTATCACCATTAGTTCCCGAAATGCATATTAGCTGAAGATAATGATGTCAATCTGAAGAAAAACTGATTTAGAATGCTGATACATCCCAACTTTAGTAATAAAATATCAAACACTCCACTGAGGCCTTTGGTTACGAAAAGATGAGCTGTGAACCAAGAATCAGTATTTCCACAGAGCTGCAGTAGATAGATGCAAGAAAATGAAAGTAAAAGCTTTGCAATGTGTATGTGTATCTGATCATATACAATGATATTTATCAAAATGAACTCTAGGAAGTGGAAACAACAGTTTTTCTTTGTTGCTGTTTTTTATTTTTTTTTATTTTTTGGTCAGTCGTGGGGCTTGAACTCTAGGCTTGGGCACTGTCCCTGTGCTCTTCAGCGCAAGGCAAGCGCTCTACCCCTTGAGCCACAGCTTCATTTCCAGTTTTTGAGTGGCTTATTGTAGATAAGAGTCTCATGGACTTTCCTGCCTAGGCTGACTTTGAACCATGATCCTGAGATCTCAGCCTCCTGAGTAGCTAGGATTACAGGTGTGAGCCTCCGGCTCCCGGCTTTATTTTTATTTTGTAAAGGTGATGTACAGAGGGGTTAGTTACATAAGTAAGATAATGAGTATCTTTCTTTTGTTTTGGTTTTCCTTTCATATTATTTGTTTATCCATCTTTGGGAGGGTGGTGGGGCACAGAAATGGTGGGACAAAGGGTGAACAAATGTAGCAGTGGTACTCACTAGACACTATGCTTATAATGAACTATACAACTTGAGGTTGGGGATGGGAGGGAAAGTCTAAAAGAGAGCAAGGGAAGGGGTGACATAGTCCAAAAAGAAATGTACTCATTACCTGACTTATGTAACTGTAACCCCTCTGTATATCACCTCTGTAATAATAAAAATGCATGAAAAAAGTGCTTAATATGTATCCTGGGACACAGGAGTTTTGGCATTCGGCAATATAAGGAGAATAGAAGACAGTAAAGAAGTCTGCCTTGCCTCTTGATATAGGATAGCCTTGAAGGCCAAGGATCCTGTATAAAGTAAGTGGTTACTAAGTGAAGGGCCCTCTCACACTGCCAGCAGAATTCTAGCATCCACTCACACTGAATGAGAATTCCAGAAAGGGCCTGCTTGAACTTCTCTTTTGCTTCTTCCATGTCTTTCTCATGGGCAGCTTTCTCATTTACTAGGCGGCGGACATGGCTGTTCGCTGACTGGATCATGGAGTAGAAGTTGTTGGCACTGCGTCGGTTCACCTCCCCTCGCTCTATCCAGGTGAGCAAGGTTTGCACAGCTTCTGAGAACTTGGAATCATCTGAGAAAAGGAAAATTTATTAAAAAAAACTATCCAAGGTAGCCAAATCTCGACGTATTTTCAGCTAAAGCTGATAAGGAACCACATATGCAACATGTGTGCACACAGGCAGCTTGCAGAAAGAAGGCTCAAAAATAGACTGGCTCTGGTTTATGAAGCATTTCAGAAAGAGTTGTTTCTTCTTTCCTTAAAAATACCTCTGGGTTAGAGGTATCTCAAGGGTATGTGGGGGTTTTTAAGTAGCAGTGAGACAACTTCATAATTCCTCAATCTTGTGTTTTAATAATAAAAAAAGCAAACATGAGTCTTGAGTTGAACTTGAATTTGGTAGTAATTTTACTCGATTCATGAATTCTAGCATTGGAAGGAACCTAGGGAATAACATCAATAGCATTCAATTCATAGCCCCAGGCCTTCCACTCAGTTCCAGTTCCAATCTATTTTGATGCAGTTCATTTTATTTCTATATTCCTTTGCATCTTTTTTCTCTGGCTTGAAGAACCCTACAAGTGGATTTCTACATCTACCTAGGAGTCATACTCTGACAGAGATAGTACACAGCTCTTCCAAAGCTTCTAGTCCAAGTATCTCAGCTACCCACTTATGTGTTCTGCTGTTACACAAGAGAGAGAGAGACAGAGAGAGACAGAGAGAGAGAGACAGATAGAGACAGAAAGAGAGAGAGAGACAAACAGACAGACAGAGACAGAGAGAGAGAAAGAGAGAGAGAGACAGCATTAACAGCCCACTGAAACTTCATATCCCTCTCTGGCCAGAGGCCTTATGTCAAGTGGAAATACCTTGCACTGCAATTTTAACTTCTTGTCTCTTGTCCTTTATTCAGTGCTAGCATAAAATGAGAGAAGAGCTTTTTATTTCATTACTTGGATGCAATGCAATCTTTATGTCAATGCTCAGTTTTTGCTTCTTGTGAGGGCCACAAAAAAGAAAATTTAATTTTTAAACATAAGCTGATGTGTTTAGTGTCATCTGAAGAGGCAAGCCTTAGACCTGGCATTGTACCAGTTTTCAGCCTTTATAATTTTTCAAAATGTGCAATTATTTCTGTGTCACTATTGTGGACTCTGTTTTTTTCAATGCAAGAAGTCAAAAATCAAAGAGATTTAAAAAAAAATTCTTAAATCTGTGAATCCCTGGGGTTTTGTGATGTAAACAATTTTGGTGAGTGAGACCTAATTGGAAAGTGGAATTAGTAGGATCTTGCTGAGCTGAGAGCATAAGAAGCAGGGCAAATTTGTGCCATTAGAGCTGGGCAGGTGGCTTTAAATCACCAGCATTCATTCAATAACATTAGCAATATTCAGAAAATGAGAGACTAGATTTGAGCAACTAAGACAATAGAATGGACAGAGTGGCTTACATTAAATGAGCAAAGCAGCCTTGAGTATCAAGCAAAAACAGAATTAAAAACTTAAAGGCAGACTGACATAGCAATGTGTAAAAGTTTCCATAATCACTAGGTGAACCAAACTGCATTTTCTTTTTCTTGTACTGGGAACTCAGGGCTGTATGCTTACTTGGCTTGCCTTCTCAGCTTGCTTGGACTTTACCACTTGAGTCATGCCTTTATCTAGCTTTTCCAGGATTCTTCTGCCCAAGCTGGCTTCTAGCCATGATCTTCTAGATCTCAGCCCCCTGAGTAGCTAAGACTGCATCTTTGAATTACCAGCACTTGGCAAACTGTTTTTTTTTTTAAATGATCAAAAAGTTTCCTTTTAGTCTAAGTCTCAGAGTAAACTAGGAAGAATTTACACTTATGAGTACTTTCCAGACTTCAATTTCCTCATCTTTAAAATGAGGATTTTACCAGATTTTCAAGTTCATATCCAGTTCTATGCTGATTCATTCATTTGATTAAGAATTCAAATCTACCTTGTATCCACTACGAAAGGAGACACTTGCCTAAATTTCTCTGGTGGGGAAAATGGGAAAAACCCACTCTATCTCTTGCTAGTTAGTTGATATTTGGGAGGGAAAAAAAGCCATCCTTTGAGAAAATGAAGGAGCAGAGTTATAAGGCAACACAGATAAAATTTCCAGCTTCTTGAATACTGAATATAACTATTAGCAAGGCTCCAACAAAAGAAATGCTTACAATCGATTAGTGGGAAATTCAAAGGGATACTGGCTACAACACAGCAATTTATTACAATTCCCTAGAGAAAAAAAGTTCTTTTAATCATGGAGATTGCATACTTTCTATACCTTTTAGTTTTTCAGCAACAATGCTACATTCGTGATCTGAGTAATGAACCACTGGGGGAGGAGATGGTGGGCGCAGCCTTTCTTCTTCCATCCGTCTGCGGTGGCGCTCTTCTCTTGCTAGCATACGCTGTTTACACTCCCACTCATACAGGTCATCCCGAGCCTGTGCAAAATCAACATGGAGCCGCCCTGTGTCCTTCTTGTCAGTACTAGAGCCCAAGCGAATTCGGTAACCTATATTTAAGAGAAAGGGGTAGAGGGAGGAGAGATTGAACAACTCTAGGTACTTATCCAAGATCAATGTTTCAGATATGGCTGCTTCAAGAGACCACATGATCCCCAGTTCTCTTCTCATGACAGCAAGGTGAATCATCAAAAGACTTAGGTTACAATCTTATCTCTTAAAAACAGTTTGCTTTCTGTAGGTTGGATTGATCTATTCTTAGGAGTTCCATCTGCCATCTTACATTTAGATTTGAGCTATCTGTGAGTAATGATATCAAGAATGACCATAAAGAAGAAAGATAATGGAGACCTGAAATTATGATGTCTTTGCTAATTTCCAGTTAGTCATACATCACACAGAATTCTGGTAAACTTAAAATGTATTTACTTGGGATTGTAATATCTACAACTATTCCCTAGGTATATTTGCAATTCTAGACCATTTTTTTTTCTTGTGAGAAACTAAAAGATGTGATGGGAAATGGTAATATAATCCAGATGAGACAAAATTTCAAATTCTTAAATCATATTGGCTGATTACAATAGTGGTATAGGGAAGGGATTTCAAAAATCAGGATTCCATTGTCTGTCTCCACTTTTTGTGCCCAAGCCAAGTCTCTTAGCAAAAAGTTAAAACAAAAACACAAACACTGTCAAGTACTAAAGGTTCAGGAACTGAGCAAAATACCAACACAAACATTTATCTCATGTCATTCTCAGCACAAGCTTGCAGGGGAAATATTTTTGATAAGGAAAAAAACTAATTAGAATCATTTCAGAGGTTAAGTAACTTGCTCTGGGCCAAAGAAGTATTAACTGGTAAGGATTCACAACTTGAATTCAGGTCCTTAGGCTCAAAATTGATTGTGCTTTCCTCTATTCTTTAGAACAATACTCAAAATAGATTTTTGTTTTTGGCTAAGACTTGGCAAATGAAGCTTCTTAAGCAAAGTACCAGAAAGAAGAGAGATTCAGAGGAAGAAGTTCAGAGATTCGCAGAAGGTCATCCATGATTATTTAGCTGAGTATTGATAGCTGCACGTATAAGTAGAAAACACCTGATTTTTAAAGGTAACACCCTCTGAACCTCATATGGGGCTGGAAATAGCTCTTTTCTCCACTGCTCATAGAAGAAAAAAAATACCTCATACTTCACAGAGTACTGGCCAATCGGAAAGGTTTTACATTAATAATGGGGAAAAATAGTGCCAGATCTTTTTTTTTTGGTCCTGATGAATACTGCTTAAAAAGCAATACCTAGTTGGGTACTGGTGGCTTGCACTAGTAGTCCTAGCTACTCAGGAAATTGAGATCTGAGGATCACAGTTTGAAGCAAGCTGGGACAAGAAAGTCTGTTAGACTTATCTCAACTAACCATCAAAAAGCCAGAAGTGGAGATGAGAAGTGCAGATGTGGCTCAAGTGGTACAGAAGCAGCCTTGAGTGAAAAATCTAAGGGATAACACCCAAACCCTGAGTTCAAGCCCTGGCATTGAGGACACACACACACACACACACACACACACACACACACAGAGCAGTACTTAAAAGGATCAACATTTTCTCCTTACTTCATTTTAGAACAGAACTTAAAAATATTCATAGAATAAAATATTCTTTCTCCAAGTAAGGTAAAATTTACAATATATGATATCTAAAAATATCTGGTATACAAAGAAATAGGGAAATATGCCCCATAATTAAGACTTAAGAAAATCACTGGTAGGGGAAAAACAAAGGAGGAGGCAGCAATGTTTGATAAGAAATGTACTTATTACCTTGCTCATGTAACTGTAACCCCTCTGTACAGTATTTTCTTTTCTTTTCTTTTTTTTTGGGGGGGGGGTCTGGTCATGGGGCCTGAACTCTGGGCCTGGGCGCTGTCCCTCAGCTCTTCAGCTCAAGGCTAGTGCTCTATCACTTGGGCCACAGTGCCACTTCAGGATTTTTTCTTTTTGCTTATGTGGTGCTGAAGAATTGAACCCAGGGCCTCATGCATGCAAGGCAATCGCTTTACCACTGAGCCACCTTCCCAGCCCCTGTACAGTATTTTCACAATAAAAAACGTATTTACAAAAAAAGAAAGAAAAACACTGAATTGAAACAGATTCAGAAGTGGTACATAAAACAATTAGCCAAAAACAACCAGTAAAGTTGTGTTTTGTATGATTCAGTGGCTAGAGAGAAGATTGAAATACAAGCAAAAATACAAAAATATGAAAAAGAGTCCGAATTAAACTAAAGGTTTAATGTCAAAGTTGGAAAAAAATAATTGGACAAGACAAATGGCAAATCAGACACTTTTGTAAAAGAAAAAAAGAAAAACTTTAACAGAGAGCAATAGAACCTATCCAAAATGAAATACAAAGAGGAAAAATCATTGAGCAAACACATCTGAGTACCAGTGAGCTGTGAGACAATGTTCAAAGGCTTAATGAATGCCTAAGTAGAACTCTGAAAGAGAGGGGAGAAGGGAAGGAATAGAAAAAATCCACTTCAATAAAGGGGAAAAATTCAAATTTGTTGAAAGCCCTCAGATCCAAGAAGTGCAATGAACTTCAAACACGCACGTGTGTGCGTGCGCACACACACACACACACACACACACACACACACACAAATCCAACATGAAGGAAATTACACTAAGGAACCTCATACTTGAATTGTTCACTAATAAAGACAATACCTTAAAAGAAGCTATATATAAAAGGCACACTATATACATAGAAACAAAATTAAGGATATTATTATATTTATTGTGGGAAATAATGTAAGCAGTAAGATAACAGAACCGTGTCTGAGAGAGGACGGGAAAAACAACAACCTATTTACCTGGAAATCTCTATCTTAAAAAAATACATTCCAAAAAGAATGGGGAAATGAAAAAAAAATTATTGGGATAAGGTCTTACTACATATCCCAGGCTGGCTTTGAACTCTCATAATGCTCCTGAGTCTGGGATTATTTCTTTTTAAAACTTATGAATGCTGAAAGAGTTCATTAAGAGAAGACTTCTACAATAAAAATTGTTAAAGAAAATTCAGGTATAAGGAATATGAGACCAAATGTCATTCTGGATCTATACAAAGGAAGGAAGAGCATACATAATGTATGATTCCATTTATAAGAGGTTCTAGAAAATGCATACTAATCATATAGAGAACAGGTAAGTAGATGCTTGGAAGGAAGTGAGTAGGGGAAGGGAGCAGGGATTATAAAGGAGGCATTATGGATGCTTTTGGGAGTGTTAGGTATAATCATTTTGATTCTTGGAGGTTTCACAGCTGCAGGTATATATCAAATATTGTACAATTTCATTTTTGAAGTATGTTAACGTCATCATATGTAAATTATATATGGCTATTATAAACTTTATATAGCTAGTATAAAAGGACAATCCTCAGTAACACTAAGCATATCATATATTCTTTTTAGAAAGAGGTTAAGTATAAACACATTTCATAAGCACACTCTTCTAGGACCCTCTGAGGTCTGCAATGTATTTGCATACTCAATTTTATCTGATTGTGTGATCCATTAGAAAAAGGAGGCAATAAATGTTTGCTTTGCCTGTTCACCCAAGATTGTGGAGAGGATCAAGAGAAGTGCATATAAAGGCTCTCTGTAATCCACACTGAAGATGCTATGGGGAGTGTGCATTGTATAAAGTGCCAGCTCCTAAGGTGTTTCATCTCCAACAAAAATATCATTTTTTTCTGTTTTCCTAGCATGTTTTATAAGGCATTCTTGCTTGCTTGTTTGTTTTTACCACTTTATTTTCTAACATGAGATAAAAGAAAAATAATCTCATCCAGGAGCCTCTAGTTCTTGTGAACTGGAGGAGGTTCCAATTTAAAGGGAAAAATTTAGTTATTTTCTCAACACTGATTGCCATCCCATTTCCTTTGGAAGCCCTAGGAATTTTTCTAGGAGGTAGTTCTTAAAAGAGCTGATTTCAGTGATGTTTATATGGGTACCTTCTGAGCAGTTTGTTTTCTATTATGTATAACTATTTAGGGCTTTTTGAGACCTTTACATTCTTATTAAAATGGTCTTTTATGGAATGCTCTATTATTGTTGCTAAGTGCTTTCTAATCTTTAGTAGATTCTACAGCACTTAACGACTGTAATAAGAGTCTGCAGCATCTACCTCCTCCTCTCCTTCCCTGTTATTAGTCTACATTTGCAAATCCCTGTTACCTTTTCCCTATTCCAACAAGCTTCTAAGTGACCTCCTCTCCTTGAAACCATTATTACACAGAGCTGTCAGATTAATCTTTCAGAAGTAATCACTATTCCTGTTCAAATTTTTCAGCAATTCCTTATTACCTAAGGAGTAAAGACTCAACTGTTAAAGCTTCCAAAGTATACTAACATCTGATCTTTTCCCTCCCCCATCGTGTCTGCACTGTTTCCTCAATGTTTGCCAGAGATTTCCACCTCTGTAACTTCACTCATGCTGTTTCTTGGCCCCACTGTCCATATGGAAATTCATTTTCCTTAAAGCAAATGATACTTTTCTGGATATTCCCAGTTAAGAGTCAGAAATATTCATATTCTTGTCTTTTCCTTTACTTTTCTCCTCTGTATGGCACTCATAGCTGCTGCTGCTGCTGCTGCTGCTTCTGATTTTATGCTGGTATTGGGGCTTCAACTCAGAGCCTGGGTGCTGTCCCTGAGATTTTTTTGTTCATGGCATTCTTTTTTTTTTTTTTTTGTCAGTTGTGGGGCTTGAACTCTGGGTGTGGGCGCTACCCTTGTACTCTTCAGCTCAAGGCGAGTGCTCTACCATTTGAGCCACAGCACCACTTTCGGTTTTCTAGTGATTCATTGGAGATGAGTCTCATGGCCTATCCTGCCCGGGCTGGCTTTGAACCGTGATCCTCAGATCTCAGCCTCCTGAGTAGCTAGGATTGCAGGTGTGAGCTACTGACGCCCGTGCTCATGGCTCTCTTGGGAGGCAGCTCTACTCTGGGTTTTTTGGTGGGTAATTGGAGATAAGACTCTCAAGGACTTTCCTGCTGAGGCTGGCTTTGAACTGTGATCCTCCGATATCAACTTCCTGAGTAGGTGGGATTACAGGTGTGAGCCACTGGAACCTAGCTAAATCACCATTATCATTAACAGTCTTATCAGTATCTTGAGTAATGCTTAGTCTTGAATAAATGTTTCTTTAATAAATGAATGTATGGTTGAAAGGGGAAGAAGTAGGTTTTACTCATCTACTCTGCATAGCATCTAGCACAATAATTTATACAAAAGAGAGGTTATTAAATACGTATTATTGAATGAGGGTGCTGTTACCATAAAATGCCTAGCACTTGAACTCAATTGTTACAAAACATTGTTCTTAGGTGAAGCGGTAACCCTATTTCATAATTACTCTATCTTCTTCCTTCTAGCATATTTATCCACAATCCTATAAAGAACATCAACTCAAAATAAGTAAAAGAGAAACTATGCAACTTTTTTTCACAGCAATTCAAAAGGCAAAGGGCTTCACTTTATGATACTCAATTCTAGTGACAACTACTTTTCTCTGCTGTCCTATATCTGAACTTCCAATGTGAACATGTGAGTTTTTTGAACATGTGATTCTTATGTAAGAAATTCTTACATGCTGTACTCCAACTGTCTTATATAAACCATTATCACCTTTGGAATAGACTGCTGTAGTTAAACTACCTCCCAGTCGCCACTCATGTCTCTCAGTCCATCTTCTACTTACCTAGGAGTAATATTTTTAAATAATTTCGTAAAATCCCCCTGGTGGCTTTCAGAATAAACTTCATCTTAATTTGTAAGATCCATGCTAACCTGTCCTCTGCATGCAAATGCTCAATCCATTTCCACTGCAGGGCTTTTTGTTGGGTGTTCCTTACTTTGGAATGCTCCTTCTCTCACATTGTTCAGGTCAAGCCTCAGTTTAAATGTTAGAGAAAACTTTCTTTCCAAAGAACCCTAGGTACACTAGACTTTTCAAAAAGTATCAGAATATTTATCTGCTTGATAGCAATTTATTTGCATATATACATAACAAATACCTGTATATATATGATATACACATACACAGACACTACCCTATTTTAACATTGCTATAATTTTGATATGTTTGATGGCAGGAAATCTGTCTGCCTTAGTCTTTACTGCATCCCTAGTAACCTAGGATTATTTAATATTTGATAACTGACTTCCTGTTGATGTGAATGTCTCCCCAAAGTTCATATGTTAGAAACTTTTTAACCTCGAATTCACAGGTTAAATGGTATGTAGAGATAGGGCATTTAGGAAGTAATTAGGTTTCGATGACGTCAGGATAGTAGGATATTATAATTGCATTAATGATTTTATAAGAAAAGGAAGAGAGGAGCTAACACACTACCCTGTTCACCATATAATGTCGTTTGCCATTTTATGATGTAGTGAGAAGGTTCTCAGCAGCTAAGCAGATGCCAGTACCATGCTCTTAGGACTTCCAGGCTCAAAAACAGTGAGCAAAATAAACTTGTATTCTTTTTTTAATATTAATTTACTTTCTTGTTAATGAACAGAGGTGATGTACAGAGCGATTACAATTATATGAGTTAGGTAATGAGTATATTTCCTTTTGTACAGTGTCTTCTGTTTCCTTATTATCTCCTAGACTTCTATTCTTTATAAGCTAACTAGCCTCAGGTTATTTTGTTCTCACTAGAGAAAATGGATTAAGACATTTCTGTGATTGCTTTTGAGCATCTACTTTTATGCCAGATACATGCCAGGTACTGAGGATTCAGAGGTAAATAAGGCAGTATTGCTCTTAAGGAGTTCACAGTCCAGGGGAGAGAGGGATGTGGGAAGAGCCAGTTCCCACATGGCATAATAGGTTATATGTTAGAAGGAAGAAGAGTGCTTTGGGAGTGCTCAGGAAGGGGTGCTTAAATCAACCTGGGGTAGAGGACACAGACAAATCAGAGAAAGGTTTCCAGGGGAGGTCACAGTCTGTATTAAGGTGTAAAGATGTGTGTGTGTGTGGTAGGTGGGAGTGAGAAAGGTAATTCCAGTCAGAGAAAAAGGCATAAAACACCATGGTACATTCTGGGAATAAGAACTGTTTAGTGTGTTTGGGACATGTCATGTGTAATAATTGTAAGATGACACTGAGAGGTAGAACAGAGAGTCAGGTCCTTTAAATGCCACAGGTAAACACTGTGGAATTACCCTATACTCAGCTGGAGGATACTGCGGGCTTTAGAGGATGGCGGAAAGCAACACATATTTTCCATCTCTTAAGGCAAAAGGGGATGACATTATACTTATATCATAGCTGCTACAGATGCAAATACTTGAATCTCCAGTCTGTGCATTGTTCTTGTGGGCACAATCCTCATATCTAATCACCTACCAGACAGATAAAGGGCTTTATCCACCATGTACTCTTCAGCAAAGCGAATGTGACAGAAGTTCTTTTTGCTCTTTCGAATAGCAATGATCTCTCCACACTGTTCAAATACTTCCACAATGATCTGCTCTGTCCCATTTTCAGGCAGGCCACCCACAAATACTGTTTTGCATCCTGGTGGTCTTTCTCTGGTAGCAGGAGGTGGAAGATCTAAGTTTAAGGACAAAAATATTTCAAATTAAAATGATTGCTGGATACAGACCTTCACAGAACCAACAATTTCTGAGAGACTGTCACATGCCCAAAAAACTTTGGCCTTCATGACACTTATCTCTGCCATAGCAAACTGATTACATAAGCCTGAAAGTCATTTTATTCAATGGTTTGGTGATGATGTCTAGAAGATAAAGACCCAGGCCTGTGTGCCTGTCCTATTCAGAGTTCTTTAGCTTTGTTCCTTTTCTTTGCTGTAATAAGACAGCTATGTCAAATTTGCAGTCGCTATTAAGAAGACAGGAGCACTCAGAATCAGAGTTCTTGAGAAAAGGTTTGTTTAATTCATATGATACTTACTTTATTCCCTCTGAATATGTATTGGAAGAACTAAGAATGGGACTAATTTGACAGGGATTGGGTCAATGTTTATAAAAGTATTTACAGTTGTCAGAATGATTTGGTTAAACATATCAAAGTACACAGTATCCTTTCTATACTTTTAGGTACTATTTTATTTTATTTATTTATTTTTGGGTCCGGTTGTGGGGCCTGAACTCTGGGCCTGGGCGCTGTCCCTCAGCTCTTCAGCTCAAGGCTAGTGCTCTACCACTTGAGCCACAGCGCCACTTCCGGCTGTTTTTCCTGCTTATGTGGTGCTGAGGAATCGAACCCAGGGCCTCATGCATGCAAGGCAAGCGCTCTACCACTGAGCCACCTTCCCAGCCCCTAGGTACTATTTTAAATGTAAGTGATCCCTGGAGAAGTGTGGTCCAAAGCCCATTTTGCAGCTTTTAGAAAGAAGGATGAAAGACAGAAGAGAAGTCTTATCTGAGAAATCATTAACTAAAGTGAGATAAATTCAGCCACAGAGAGTCAATAAAAATCAAATTAAAATAAACCTTCTACTCACTCATTTGATATGTAAAGCCTGTTGTATCTGTTGGATCCTTGTTACTATTTATATGTATCCAAGCATTTTCTAAGCAAAATCTTATGGTTCATAGTCCAACAGAACAAAGGATGTGGTTGTTCATGTTTTTTTTTTTCCTAGTTTTGGTTTTGTATCTTCAAGGATTTATTTTGTGTAATCCATTCTTACCATTCAGCTCTTAACAACAATTGTCCCAGTTCAAGATTTGGAGAGTTCAACCAAACAGTGATTACAGCTCACATGCAAAAATAAATGAGTCTTGCTCACAGATTAGGCCAAAGCCTCCACCTGACTCTGATCCAAGTTGGCAAGCCACTGATTTGGGACCTTCTTTGGTATCAGCATCTGCAGCTTTCTCATCTTGCTGTTGCTGTCTATCTTATTGTTGTGGTTAGGAATAATTAGTCTCTCATGATGCCTCTTTTCTCTCTATTCAGCAAATAAAGGGGGTAATAGATTTAGAGACCTTAATAGACCTTGTGAATTTTTAAATCTGTAATTTGAAAGGAACACTATAACAATATTTTGTTTCAAATAAGAATTTTAGTGGGAAAGATAAAATAATCTAGTGAGTAGAAATCTGAAATATCTTGGTCATGGGCACTGAGTGAAGTTGTAGCTTTAACCCAAAGGGGAACTATGAGGTATAGTATCACTTGAGGTACATGCTTTTAAGTTTTGAAGAATTGGAAAGAATTCTAGCTATCACTTCCAGTTATTCTTAAATCTGGTAGCACATTAGAATTAACTTAAGGTCTAGGCCCCACCCTCAGTGAGTCTGATTCAATCAGTGCATTCTGTATATTAGGTTTAAAAATTGTTTCTAAGGTTTACAGGCAGTTCTAATATGTAGCTAGAATTGAAAAGCACTTAGTCTAAGTCTGACATTATAGAGGAAAAGCTTTGTTTCATTGAAGGGCACCACATTAGAAAGGAAAGAATATAAACTTGTAGCAAAATCTGGTTTTAAATCTTCATTACCCAATACCTGTATGATCTTGGAAAAATTATATACCCTCTGAAAACTTTTTTGTTATCATTAAAACAATGATATTATTCCATATTGCATAACAGTTTTTATAGGACAATTAATATTATAATTGTAAGGTCTATATTGCAAATGGTACAATGCTAGATCCTTGGTAGAGCCCCAATAAACAGTAGTCATTACAGGGTTATTATTTATGTATTATTAAATCCAGATCTTCTAATTCTAAAACCCTAATAAATGTCACTAAGACTTGGACTTCTGAAGTCTCAGCTCCTTTGTTTTATTCAGATCTTTAGACAAGGCTGGGATTAGGAGGGAATCACAAGTAGTAAGAGAGGAATATACATGTATGAAGACATATGTGGCTTTGATCATGACCATATATACATACCAGCTGGTGTATATACAGGTAAAGAATTTTCAAGAGCATTTGTATAGAAGTATATTGTCAAATCAGAGGCTTTTAGAATAAAGTCCAATTTAAAAATAAAATGTTCTTCTGACAACATTTATGTGTGTGTGTGTGTGTGTGTGTGTGTGTGTGTGTGTGTGTGTGTGTGTGTGTCCTGGGGCTTGAACTCAGGACCCTGTGCTGTTCTAGAGTTTCTTTTTTTTTGCTCAAGGCACTCTACCACTTGAGCCACAACTTAAGAGTCTCATTGATTTTCCTTGCTTGGAATTGTGATCCCAAGACCTCAGCCTCCTGAGGAGCTACTATTACTGGTGTGAGCCACCAGTGACTGGCTTTGATAGTTACATTTGAAAAGAATACTTGTGAGCCAGGACCTGGTGGCTCATGCCTACAATGTTAGCTATTCAAGAGGATGAGATCTGAAGACATAAGTTTGAGGCCACTTTGGGCAGAAAAGTCTCTGTGATTTCATCTTCAGTTAACCAGAAAAACTGGGTTGGCAATGTGACTCAAAAGGTACAGTTCTAGCCATGAATAAAAAAAGTTAAGCAAGAGTGTGAGGCCTTGAGCCCAAGCCTTTGTATAAGTAAAAAAATAATGACAATTTTCTTGGAAAGCAAAAAAAATGATCAAAGTATCATCTTTTCATATTATTTGACTTTATTTGGGTCTACTTTTAGGCCCACTGAAAGATTAAGGAATGGGGAGTGACATATAGTGACATGTAACTATGGCAGTTACATTTAGGAGTTTAAAAATCTGTGATGAATGCATCACCCCTTTGTGATGCTGAGAGTCTTCTGTGGCAACTGTAAAGAGGCATAAAATCCACTAAGAGCAATGTCAAAAGAGTTAAGGCTTTACTTGGGCAAATGTAAAAAGCCTCTTTGGCAACATTTGCAAAGATTTGGTGTGCTACCAAGCAAGGCAATGGGTTGTAACGTTTTCTTTAATAATTAATTGCTCAATGCACTTTCTTGTCTGTGCCTGATTTTCTAATTCCATAGATACAGTTATCAGGGCACAGCAATAATAAACCCACAGGAGAGTAAATTCAAACTTCCATCTAGTTATCAGGTAACATGCTTAGCCCTATAGGGAATGCCTCAATCACCATTCAGGATGGCAACCAAGAAAACTTTACCATGAAAGACTCAAGATAACTGGGAATATAGCTAGGTGTAGTGGCTCATGTTTTGTAGGCTTAGCTATTCAGGAAGTGGAGATTCGGACGATTTAGTTTCAAGGCTAGTCTAGGCAAACTTTCACAGAACCCCACCTCCACTGATAAAAGCTGTATGTGGTGGTATGCACCTGTCATCCTAGCTATGCAGGAAGCATAAATGGGCAACATATTTGAGAAAAAAAAAGCAAAAAGAGCAAGAAAAGCAATACAGAGTACTTGCCTAGCAAGTACAAAGCCTTGAATTCAAACCCCAGTATTGCCAAAAAAAGAGGGATAACTAATCTGTGGTGATGAAAAAGGAATAGCTTCCAGCCATTCTAATTACTATCATTTTGCAGAGCTGTGTTGGTATAATCACTATTAGGATCAGAGACATTACTGATCTTTGAAAAGAGAGGGAAGGAGCAGCACAGAGATCACTGTTAGTCAGCTGATTACCTAGAATTAATACAATGTAAAGTCTCTGAGCTCATTTATTAGACAGCCCATGTTTGAAGCCCCCTAGAAAATCAGCAGGGGTCAGATGCATTTTAATGTAATCTAAACTGACTGAAAGTCATCAGAAGGCTGGAAAATTCTTATTAATACTCAATTTACCAATTTCTCAATTTTTTAAAAAATAAAATCAGCCCTGAGAGCCAAAATGAGGTCCATCTATTTTTGTATGCCAAAAATAGAAAAAAATCCTTTTCTAGCTTCATGCATTTTCCCATATGCATACATATAGATAGAAGATGATATTCCATCATTTATTCTCCAATCACTGTTATTTCCAACTGACTCAAAATGTAAACTCTCCACACAGGAGGTGTAGCAGCTAAATAGAGAAATTATGGCAAAAATTAACCTCACTGGAAAGATGGTACTGGCCTCTTCTCTCATCATAATTAAATATTAATTGGGAGTTCAGTAAATCTTTGATAGTTACTCTGTGAAAAAAAATAAAGCTTTCTTTATCATACCTCAAAACCTGGAAATTAGACAATGTTGCTTCCAAGACAAAGAAGTATTCACTCACTATTTATCTTTAGGAGACTGGTACTAGTCTGATTCATGCCAGTATGGTTCAGTTCTGCCTAATCTAAATCAGATTGGATGTGTGTGTGTGTGTGTGTGTGTGTGTGTGTGTGTGTGTGTGTGTGTGTGTGTGTGTGTGGCTATCATCGCAATATAGCTTCTTAGCTAAAAGATTTGATGAGATTATTAAAGGTATGAATGCAGATAAGTCTAAGAATTGAGCTGTGACTCCAATTATTAGAAGTCAGGAAGAGTAGGAAGTTATGAAAAGGACACTGGAAAGGAACCACCAGCGGGTTGAAAGTAAAACCTATAATATGGAGTCCTGGAAGTCAAGTGAAGGACCCAGAAACACAAGAAATCAAAGAGAGGTTGGATAAATGGGATTGCATGAAATTGCAGAGCTTCTGCATGACAAAGGACATAGCTAGCAAGATCAATAGAAAGCCCACGGATTGGGAGAAGATCTTCACTAGCCATACAACAGACAAGGGTCTCATATCTAAAATATACCTGGAATTTAAAAAATTAAATCCCCCCAAAACAAATCTTCAAAGAAACAACTGCCCAATAAATAAGTGGGCTAAAGACTTAAAGAGAAACTTCTCTGAAGAGGAAAGAAGGATGGCCAATAGACACATGAAAAAATGTTCAACCTCTCTAGCCATAAAAGAAATGCAAATCAAAACAACATTGAAATACCACCTCACCCCAGTTAGAATGGCTATATAATCAAGAACTCTAATAACAACAGATGCTGGAGGGGATGTGGACAGAAGGGAACCTTACTGCATTGTTGGTGGGAGTGTAAACTTGTTCAACCACTTTGGAAAGCAGTATGGAGGTTCCTCAAAAGGCGCCACAGCAATCCCACTTTTGAGCATTTACCCAAATGATCACAAACAAGACCATACTAAAGCTACCAACACAACTATGTTTATTGCAGCATTATTTATCATAGCTAAGCTATGGAACCAACCCAGATGCCCCTCAGTAGATGAATGGATCAAGAAAATGTGGTATATATACACGATGGAATTCTATGCCTCCATCAGAAAGAATGACATTGCCCCATTTGTTAGGAAATGGAAAGACTTGGAATAAATATTAAGTGAAGTAAGCCAGGCCCAAAGAAATATAGGTCCCATGCTTTCCCTTATTTGCAATAACTAGTCTATATCTAAGACTAGCAGAAAATGTCAGATAAGATGATGTTAGGGAAATGAACCCCAAGATAAGTATTCAAATGATTTTTTTCCTTTCATGCAACTGTTTCTAACATATTTACAAGATGATTTTTATGTTGCTTTGTATGTCCCTCCCCCATGATATAACCCATGCTTTCACTGTGTTTGATGTTGGTATAATTTGTGGAGGGGAATGGAAAAAAACAAATCGTTTAACTAGGGATACAGGTGGATGCATTGCAACAATGAGATGCACAAGTCGTTACGTCGAAAAACGAACTTTACAACTTTGCTGGGGGGAGGGAAGGATCGGGTCGGGGGAGGGGAGAGTATGGGAAGGGATGGGATGGGGAAATAAAGAGGAGGCAACAATGCTTGATAAGAAATGTACTCATTATCTTGCCAATGTAATTGTCACTCCTTTGTACGGTATTCTCACAACAAAAAAATAAATTAAAAAAAATAGTGTTCAGTTGTGTCATGGACTGTCATTAGGTTAATTTGAAACAGAATTGGAAACTGACCACTGGATTAAGCATTATTAAGATCAAGATCATTAATGTTTTTAAATAAATGACACATTGATAAAGACACAGGAGAGAAAGCATTTAAAGAAGGTTATTTAAGATAGAAGAAGAAAAGAACTAGAAATAACTATCTAGTCTTCTGTGACAAAGAAGTGTATAGAAATGAAAATACTTGTTTCTTTTTTGAAAGTTTGAAATGCTGGGATTCCCCAGGTGTGGTATTTGTTTTTCTTTCTTATTGATTTGTGTATGTCTCTGGATGGTCTCAGTCATTCTTATTCTTTCAAATGACTTAAAGTTTCAAAAAGATAAAGGGAGCCCGGTGTGTAATCCTAGCTACTCAGGGGGCTGAGATCTGAGGACCACGGTTCAAAGCCAGTGAGATTTATCTCCAATTAACTACTCAGGAAAAGCCAAACGTGGTCTTGTGGTTCAAGTGGTAGAGTGCTAGCCTTGAGCACAGAGAGGCTAAAGGACAAGAGCCCAGGCCTTGAGTTCAAGCCCCCGGACCAGCAAAAAAAAAAAAAAAAAGATAAAGGGGTTAATAGTAGTAAATATATTTGAGTCGGATGATAAGGACTAATAAGCATTCATGTGATTTAACAGCTATTTATGTGAAAATGATTCATCACTGAATTAAGTTCAGCATCGTCCAAACATAAATATTCCAGAAGAAGGTACACTTGGAATTAGGCTGGAGGGAGGTATAAAGAATAAGGTCAGGAAGTACTTGAGCCCAACTAAAGGGTAAATAGGTATGTGCAAGTAGAAACGATAGTTTGGGAACAATTACATGAAGTAGAGCCATAAAAGGTTTTTTGAGGTCAGGAGATGGACTATGAATTTGTGAGAAAATAAGAGCCTCTGAACAATTTCATGGTTCTGTATATATGTGTTTAAATGCCATGTCAGGTGGGACAGAGGGGAATCAACTGACAGCAAAGATAGTTTGTAATGAAGCAACAAGAGGAGCAGACTGGATGGAGAACAAGAACTGTAAGAAGTCTCTGAATGATAGGACCTTACTGATGAGAGTAACTTTGGAGTCAAGTGCAAGAGAATATGGCAGAGACTAGGCCTTATTAGGCATTGTTGGTGTCTGGGGAAGGGAAAGATTTAGGCACCCTGTTCTACTTGTCTTACTGGGCCCTTCCTATCTTGCCTTCACAAAGACAAGTCTTGGAAGTATTCATAAAAGTGGCACTTTTTTTCATGCTTTCAGCAAAGAGCTAAGGGAGATGCCTCAGTTAGGGATTTCTCCATCCAATTAATCTGAGCACCCTTGTAACAGTTCTAAAAGCAAATAGAACATTAGTCTTTTTTAAGCTTTGTCAGGAGTATTATTTTTTAATTCAATTCCAAAGCCAGTTCCTTCCCAGAAGCCACCCATTTACTGGCACTAATTGCTCTGTCAGCATTCTTATTAAAAAGATGAAGAACTAAAGAACTGAGCTGTGAGGGTACAATGTTTCCCTTTTACTCTGTAGCCATTTAAATTCCAAACTGAGAAGGCATGCCTGCATGTAGAAACAGAGAACAACAAAAATACATATTTGAGAGATTTTAGCCTATTTCTTTGACTATATTATAGTCTATGAAGTTACAACCACTTTAGGCCATGTATTTTGACATGCATTCAAAATCTGCTTAACAATACATCTATGTATCACAGTTATAAACAAGGTATCTGTTCTATACTTTGGAAATCTGAAAATGGAACATCCTAAGAGTCATCTATTTCACCCAGCATAGACATTACAAGTTAGCAGATATCCTGTTAGCTTAGACTTAGCAATGAAAGTCAAGTAAAGGCTGATTATGAAATACATGAAGGATTAAATCCATAGGATTTTACCTTTTCATAAAAAGCAAGTTTTTAACATTGGCAATGCCTATATTCATGGCATTTTACATGAAAAATATACTATCAGGGATGTACATCTTTCCCTAATCCAAAAGCAATACACTGGAAGAAAGGGGATAAAACTTGGAATAAGAGACAAGAATGTGATGGCATTACTCATCAAATGTACACACTAAACACAAATCTAGAAATGGCCATTTGAGAGGTCAAATAAAGCCTAAAATAGACATCTTTTCCTCTATTGCCAAACTCTTCTCCTGATATGCACATTCTTCTCCCAGAACATTACTCTGAGATGCTGGTCTTTTTGGTTTCCTAATGGTCTGCAAGGATGTACCTTGTGTAAAATCCAGTTCCCAAACAAGAAGGAACGAAGGTCATTTTTTCACTAGGAAGAATGGCTAGAGGATATGACCACTCAACGTTGATTATTATGTAAAAAGCATGGATGGGCTTTGGATCATGTTCATGAGTAGCTTTTGCTCATTTGGAATATATAAAATCTCAAGTGGATCTGGAAAAACTTTGAGTTAATTATATGGTTGGCACATTTTAACTGAAGCATGGCCACTTAATCTATACAGATATTTGAAAGTGACTTTAAGGAAAAGCTTATGTTTTACTAAGAAGACAGATCCCGAGATCATTTTGCACATGAGCTGTAATGACTGAATGGCTACCAGTAGTTTGGCTTAGTCTCTCAACATTCCTTTTCACCTTTCCAATAAGTCAAACTGCACCTCTCTGTATAATGCCACAGGTACGCATGAGTAGTTGGAGTGATTTATAACTAGTTGGTAGTCATAGAGGGTGCTTGGCATCAAATGTATATTCTCATGTGCTTCATAAGGGCTCTGTCCACACCAAATCTCTGTCATTACCAGCATGGTGGTCAGTTATGAAAAAGGAAGACTACAAATGATAATGTTGAGCAATTTGTGTCTCATACCTTCAGTACTAATACATTCGAATTCCTTGCCAGACAGTATTACAAACGTATTACTCACTTGTACTGCCACCAGAATATAAAAACTTATTTTTCATTGCATAAAATTCAGCTGTGCCCACTGAGAGGAAGTTTTTTTTTAGGTGAAGCCCTTGGGTATCGTTTTTAAAAAGAAGACTTTCTTTTACACCAAAACATCATGACATGTGGGAAAAAGCAAAACAGTACTTGGGTTGGGAGGGAAGAGTGTGCAGCTTTTGCAGTGTATGATCTCCTTTACTACTGGCATATCTGGTGGGATTGGTGGAGGTACTATTCCCAAACCAGGCATCATTGGAGTTATTGGTGGAATTCCAGTCATCATTCCAAGGGCAGGATCAAAGTCTAAAAAAGGAAAGAACAATATATGATTCCAAGCAAAGTCAAGTGGAAGCAGAATATTATCACACAAGCTTCAAATCAAAGGTCTTTCTAAGACAGAGGCAAAGTATTTTAAAAATAAACATGAAGGTTAGTGTTCCCAAGTCTTAAATATTATATTATAGTTTTGTATTTTCTTTTCAAGTTAGGGCTTTTGTTTTGTTTGACTAGGGCCCATTTAAACATCTACATTTCCTTTTGTTATTTATTGTCTTTCATAACTTAACTATGCTTTTAAGTGATTTTAACTTCACGAGTTTCTAACACATCTCTTGCTCCATTCTCACACGGTTTCTTGCTTTCTTCTGTATACTTTCTGTTTTTACAATAGAGCATGGCGTTAAGACAGAATAAGACTGCCACAATTGTGGCAATCCAGGAGACTTGGGTTCACATTCCATCATTTGCCTAGCAATATGAACCTCCATTTTCTCAGCTATGAAACAGGCTTCATACTTCTTACCCTTACAAGGAACTGTGAGGAGTAAATAAAATGATAAATGTTCTGTGCTTAGCACAGTGCACAGTACAGAACAAGCTCAATAAATAATTTCTCGCTGTAACTTTGTTCATGTTGCTTTTCCTCCCTGGAATGATTAGAGCTTTACAGAATTTTCCCCATAGTTCAAGACCTAACGTAAACCTCACTTTCCTTGAAGAAGCCTTTGTAGATAATTCTGGTTCATTCTTAATTGGCATTTAAAACCTCTTCTACACCTGTTGCTATGGAATTTTATTTTATTTTATACTGACTTTTGTTGATTCAGGGATTCTTCTAGGAAGTGTAGATACCTAAACAAATTGAGGAGAGGTTCATCTATGCACACAAATTGATTCACTCCAAATTGGTATCAACAGCATTCTGGTGGCACAATTTCATGTGATACCATGAAAGAAATAGCACTTCAGCAAGCTGGAGTGATTTGCTTGCCAGACCATTCCTCTGGAAGTAAGACTTTGGGAAGATTCTACAGGCCTGAGTCCTAAAGCTTCTTGGAGCTCTAGTTGATTCCATGTATGGGGGAGAGGATTGGAGAGTGTTCCAAAGGGAATGAATGGGAACTGGGGCTCATAGGGATCTGATCTGAGGCTGGAACTCGTCACTCAGATATCACTGACCTCCCAGCACACTAGAGAGGAACTTGAGTTTTTTTATTGTAAAGGTGATGGACAGAGGGTTTACACTTACATAAGTCAGGGATTGAGTACATTTCTTCTGAACAGTGTTACCCCTTCCGTATTTCCTCCCAGTATTTTCCTTCTTCCTCCCAAGTTTTAAATTCATTTCCAACACAGTGTCTAGTGATTATCAGTGCTGAATTGGCTCACCCTTTGTCTCACCATTTCTGTGCTTCTCCTTCCCCTCCCCAAATCAGAAAAACTTACATACAACACAAAGGGTACAGAAATCAAATATGGTGACAAAAGGGAAAAAAAGGCTAGGAAGCTGGCTCATGGCAGAGTGCTTGCTTTGCATGCCTGAGGCCCTGGGTTTGATTCCTCAGCACCACATAAGCAAAAAGAAAAAAACCGGAAGTGGCGCTGTAGCTCAAGTGGTAGAGCGCTAGCCTTGAACTGAAGAGCTGAGCAACAGCGCCCAGGCCCAGAGTTCAGGCCCCATGACCAGATCCCACCCCCCAAAAAAGGGGAAAAAATAGAAAAGAAAAAAAGAATTACAAAAAGTAAATTTAAAAAAACATTTGTTTCCAGTTCTTGAAGTTCATTTCCATAAGAACCATTTTATATGATCATTTGCACATAGCTGTTGAGCCTTTGTGATCCTCTCCTAAGAATATCCTCCTTGGGTGTCACTGTGTGAATGTTTAGAGTCCTGTTTTATGTATCATGCCCAAGTTTAATTTTTTGCCTTTTACTTTTAGGTTTACTTATAGATTTATAGGCACATTCTAATTATTACAAATGAGGGAAACCTATGTTTCTTTGGGTCTTACTTTGCTTAATATAATTTTTTCCAAGTCTTTCCATTTCTTATGAATGGAGCAACGCTATTCTCTCTGGAGAGCACTACCACTGAGCCACAACTGCGTCCCTTAAGAAATTTTAAGAAAGGTACTTCTTGTGGTCCAAAAGCAAGCAAGACTTTCCCTAGATTCTGGATCGCCAATCTAATGACTGCCTGCTAGGCCAGTGTTCAGAACTCTAGGGGGGTTGGAAAATATAGAGATAGTCTTTCTAAAGCATGGGACCCCACTGAGACATGGGCCCTGGGCAGGGAACTCATTTGCTTGAGTCTAATGGTAATACTGATTTCACTGCCTAATTTTGATTCTATATAAAAATACAAATTCTTTGAGAGAAAGGAGTGAACTTTACTTCATTTTTCCTAGCTCTTCTACCTGTTCTCACTATAGAATCCCACACAGTATACTATAAACAAAGAAAGTTTTTAAAAAAATAATCAGTTCTAGTAACAAAGGGGCTGTTACATTAGCTGTGGCAAGTTATGCTTCCAAAGACTTCACCATGCTTACCACACAGGTCAGAGGGGCAATGCTGGTAAAGATATTCTCAAGGTTTTCTTGCAAATCCTTGTTGGTGCTCTAAAATACTAGAGGAGGTACAACTAAACAGCAGGAAGAATCTACCCAGAGAAGTAGAACTTCAGGTTTAACATGTTCAGTAAAGGGGAGTCCTGTGCCTGGGTCATAGATGGATAAACAGGTGAAACGTGCATCTCCCCATTGGAAACCCAGCCAAAGTAAGGTAAGGCATCCTTCTTACTGTTATATGCATTTCATCTTGAGATGCCCAAACATGACCTTTTCTCCTGTGGCTCACATTATCTCTACTCTCTACCCACCACTTATGTGACCTTGAGGAACGTTTCTTTAATATTTCTGCATTTCTTTTTTGATAAAAGTTGGGGTAAGTAATGACATTCAACTCAGTTGGTGAGAGGATAGAGCAGATATGGAAACCTCTGTCATGATAGGCAAATTTCCTTCCATTCAAAATGTACAAACACACACTGATGAATTCACTGATTCTGGCATTCACAATCACATTCTACAAACATTTGTGACAAGCCTCCTATGAGTCAAGCCCAAGGGAGGGAGCGAGGGGGGTGACTAGGTTTCGGGTTGAGGAGAAATACCTTTCTACGCTCCAGAACAAAAGCATTCTGGTTTACAGTGCCATTTGAGTCTTTGCAAATTTGAATTTTTTGTGTGCAGATTTTGGAGAAATTCTGAACATTATCTCACCCATTTTACAAACTAGTAATTTTTCTAAGGAAAAGATCAGAATTAAGATTGTCTGTCAACTAAACAATCCCATCTATTTTCCCCTCCTACTGAAATGTTTGTCTTCCTTTTATTGTTCTGCCCAGATCCTTATTGCTATTCATATAGCTCTGTCACTCACAACTCTACCTTACCACAGATTACAGAAACATCACTTCATTAAACAAGTTCTGCCACTTCCACTGAGAAGGAAATGTCTATCTCCATGTACCATCTACTAATAAATGGATACAAACAAAAAACAAATATATAGGATAAATATAACTCCTGACTGATGTAATCACCACTCTGCCGTTTGGTATGATTACATTAATATTTTATAAATCTGTTTAAAAGAGAGTCTATTCATAGCATATGGTTAAAGACACAGTAGATAAACTTTCTTTTTCCTTTAGTTCAATACACCAAGAGTTCTACGAGTTACACTCTTCTGAAAAGCTTGCTAGATGGTAGGTGGTACATGACATTTCAAAGACTCCAATCACATTGTTTCTTTTGTTTATTTTTAATCATTAAGATTCAGAATGGACTTGAATTTCCAGTGCCAACAAAGGGGAAAAAAGCATTTGAAACCATGGGTCTTATGTAACTATGGTAGAGCCTGAAAAATCAAAGTCCAAACTTCAAATAAACTGGAAATAGAGCACAAGAGAAATTCTTGCCCTTTTCCTGGCCTCTGGCCTGACTGGAGTACTGCAAACAAGTACATGCTATTGCCACTTATATTAGGAATTCACACTTCTAAAGGAGATTTGAAATTATATAAAAGAGTTGTGGAAAAGGCCTCAAAAGTCCTTTTCACCATAGATACTTTAAGGGGGGCTTTATTTTCATTTTCTCCTTCCATCCTTTTTAAAAATTTTTAATTATTATTTTTTTGTGCCAGTCCTGAGGTTTTAACTCAGGGCCATGGTGCTGTCCTTGTTATTATTATTATTATTATTATTTGCTAAAGGCTAGGACTCTACCTCTTAAAGCCATAGCTTCACTTTCAGCTTTTTGGTGATTATCTGAGGAGAAAGAGTCTTATGGATTTCCTATCTGGTCTCGCTTCAAAAGCAATCTTCAGATCTCAGTAGCTAGGATCACAGGCATGAGCTACTAGCAAGCACCTGGATCCATTCTTTTTCTTATTTTATTATATATTTTATTATCTTTAAGTAGTTGTACAAAGGAGTTAGCCTTCAACAAATCAATTTATGAATACAATACATCTTGGTCTATGTCAACCCTTTGATCATTCTCTACCATCCCTTCTAATTCAACCTTTCCCCACAATTTTCTTAATTTCATAGGCTATGAATTGAATATTATGAATGCATGCTCCCCTCTTCCTCTCTTTTTTGTTTGTTGGCTGTGGGGCTTGAACTCAGGGCCCTGGTGCTGTCCCTGAGCAATTTTGCTCAAGGTTAGAGCTCTAACACTTTGAGTTACAGATCCACTTCCAGTTTTCTGGTAGTTAACTGGAGATAAGAGTCTCACAGGGACTTTTCTGCCTGGGCTGGCTTTGAACTGGGATTTTCAGAATTCAGCCTACTGAGTAAATAGGATTATAGAGGTGAGCCACCAGCACCTGGTCTCTCTTCCTCTCTTCATTCATCTACCCTGTTCCTTTCTTTCCCACTCACCATTCAAGTACCAGCTTCATGATATTCATTTTGAGGGATCATGAGTTAGTTTTGCTCAGGAATTACAGTTTGA